ATCTCTATGGGGTCTCTGTGGGGTCTCTGTGGGGCTCTATGGGGTCTCTGTGGGTCCCTATGGGGCTCTGTGAGGCTCTATGGGGCCTCTGTGGGTGTCTGTGGGTGTCTATGGGGTCTCTGTGGGGCTCTATGGGGTCTCTGTGGGTCCCTATGGGTGTCTATGGGTGTCTATGGGGTCTCTGTGGGTTCTTATGGGGTCCCTATGGGTCTCTGTGGGGTCTCTATGGAGTCTCAATGGGGCTCTATGGGGTCTCTGTGGGGCCTCTGTGGGTCCCTATGGGGCTCTGTGGGGCCTCTGTGGGTCCCTATGGGTTCCTATGGGTGTCTATGGGGTCTCTGTGGGTCTCAGTGGGGCTCTATGGGGTCTCTGTGGGGTCCCTATGGGGTCTCTGTGGGGCTCTATGGGGCCTCTGTGGGTCTCTGTGGGTGTCTATGGGTGTCTATGGGGTCTCTGTGGGGCTCTATGGAGTCTCTGTGGGTCTCTGTGGGTCCCTATGAGGTCTCTGTGGGTCCCTATGGGGCTCTGTGGGGCCTCTGTGGGTCTCCATGGGTCCCTATGGGTGTCTATGGGGTCTCAATGGGGCTCTATGGGGGCTCTATGGGGGCTCTGTGGGGTCCCTATGGGGTCTCTGTGGGTCCCTATGGGGCTCTGTGGGTGTCTGTGGGGTCTCTGTGCATCCCTATGGGTGTCTATGGGGTCTCTGTGGGTCTCAATGGGGCTCTATGGGTCCCTATGGGTCTCTGTGGGTTCTTATGGGGTCCCTATGGGTCTCTGTGGGGTCTCTATGGAGTCTCAATGGGGCTCTATGGGGTCTCTGTGGGTCCCTATGGGTGTCTATGGGTGTCTATGGGGTCTCTGTGGGTCTCAATGGGGCTCTGTGGGGTCCCTGTGGGGCTCTATGGAGCTCTATGGGGTCTCTGTGGGTCCCTATGGGGCTCTGTGGGGCCTCTGTGGGTCCCTATGGGTCCCTATGGGTCCCTATGGGGCTCTATGGGGTCTCTATGGGGTCTCTATGGGGTCTCAATGGGTCTCAATGGGTCTCAATGGGTCTCTGTGGGGTCCCTATGGGGCTCTGTGGGGCTCTATGGGGTCTCTGTGGGGCCTCTGTGGGTCCCTATGGGGCTCTATGGGGTCTCTGTGGGTCTCTATGGGGTCTCTCTGGGGCTCTATGGGTCCCTATGTGTCTGTATGGGACCCATGGGTCTCTGTGGGGTCTCTATGGGGTCTCTATGGTCCCTATGGGGTCCCTATTGGCCCCTATTGGTTTCTATGGTGTCTCTATGGGACTCTATGGCTCCCTATGGGTCTCTATGTGTCCCTATGGGTCCCCACGTGTCCTTATAGGTCTCTATGGGTCTCTATGGGTTTCTATGGGTCTCTATGTGTCCTTATGTGTCCCTATGGGGTCTCTTTGTGTCCCTATGTGTCCCTATGTGTCCCTGCGTGTCCCTGTGTGTCCCTACATGCCCCTATGCGTCTCCATGCGTCCCTACGGCGCCCCTGCTCGCTCTCTATGGTCTCCCTACTCTCTCCCTATGCCATCTCTATGGTACCTCCGCGGTCCCTCTACGGCCTCTCTACGTTCCGCCTCTCTCTCTCTTCCGGCGGGCTCCCCCTGGCGGCGGCTGACGGCACCGCGCCCCGCAGTGCTGCGCTGCCTGGGGATCCCGACGCGCACGGTGACCAACTACAACTCGGCGCACGACACCGACGTGTCGCTGACCACCGACATCTACTTCGACGAGAACATGAAGCCCCTCGAGCGCCTCAACACCGACTCCGTCTGGTACCGGGCCGCGGGGGCACGGGGGGGGCGGCTGGGAGCCGGGGGGACACAAAGGGAGCCGTGGAAACACGTAGGGACGCGTAGGGTCACATAGGGAGCCATACGGAGCCATTGGGAGCCATAGGAACCCATGGGGACACATGGGGACACATAGGGATGCATAGGGAGCCATAAGGAGCCATTGGGAGACATAGGAACCCATGGGGATCCATAGGGACACATAGGGATGCATAGGGAGCCATAAGGAGCCATTGGGAGCCATAGGAATCCATGGGGACACATGGGGGCACTAAGGGATGCATAGGGACATATAGGGAGCCATAAGGAGCCATTGGGACCCATAGGAACCCATGGGGACACATGGGGACCCATAGGGATACATAGGGGCATATAGGGAGCCATACGGAGCCATTGGGAGCCATAGGAACCCATGGGGACACATGGGGACCCATAGGGACACATAGGGACATATAGGGAGCCATACGGAGCCAATGGGAGCCATAGGAACCCATGGGGACACATGGGGACCCATAGGGATACATAGGGGCGTATAGGGAGCCATATGGAGCCATTGGGAGCCATAGGAACCCATGGGGACACATGGAGGCACTAAGGGATGCATAGGGACGTGTAGGGAGCCATAAGGAGCCATAGGAACCCATGGGGATCCATAGGGACACATAGGGACATATAGGGAGCCGTAGGTAGACATTGGGACCCATAGCAACCCAAAGGGACACACGGGGACCCATAGGGACCCATAGAGACCTATAGGGACACATAGGGAGCCATAGAGAGCCATAGGGGCACATGGGGACCCATAGGGATCCATAGAGACCTCATAGAGCCCCATAGAGCCCCATAGAGCCCCATAGGGACCCCATAGGGACCCATAGAGACCCCACAAAAACCCATAGTGACCCATTGGGACCCATAGAGATCCATAGAGCCCCATAGGGACCCCCTAGAGCCCCATAGGGACCCCCTAGAGCCCCATAGGGACCCCATAGAAACCCATAGAGACCCATTGGGATCCATAGAGATCCATAGAGCCCCATACGGACCCCATAGAGACCTATAGGGACCCATAGAGACCCCATAAAAACCCGTAGAGACCCATTGGGACCCATAGAGATCCATAGAGCCCCATAGGGACCCCGTAGAGCCCCATAGAGACCCACAGGGACCCCATAGACACTCCATAGTGACCCCATAGAGCCCCATGGAGACCTATCGAGCCCCATAGAGCCCCATAGGAACCCCATAGACACCCCACAGTGACCCCATATCACCCCATAGAGCCCCGCAGGCCCCCCATCACCACCCCACATCGTTCTCTCTCTCTCTTTCTCCCCCCCCTAAGGAACTTCCACGTCTGGAACGACTGCTGGATGCGGCGCCCCGATCTGCCCGACGGCTACGACGGCTGGCAGGTGGTGGATGCCACCCCGCAGGAGACCAGCAGCGGTACTGGGCGTACTGGTTTATACTGGGCTGCACTGGGGGGACTGGGCTGTACTGCTTGGGCTGGGTTGGGCTGGGTCGGGTCGGTTGGGATTGGGTTGGGATGGGTTGGAGTGGTCCATACTGGTTGATACTGGGTTATACTGGGTTGGAGTGGTCCACACTGGGTTATACTGGGTTGGAGTGGCCCATACTGGGTCGGACTGGTCCATACTGGGTCATACTGGGTCATACTGGGTTGGAGTGGTCCATACTGGTCCATACTGGGTTATACTGGGTTGGATTGATGGGGATTGGGTTGGGATGGATTGGAATGGTCCATACTGGTCCATACTGGTTGATACTGGGTTATACTGGGTTGGAGTGGCCCATACTGGGTCGGACTGGTCCATACTGGTCCATACTGGTCCATACTGGGTCATACTGGGTCATACTGGGTTGGAGTGGTCCATACTGGTCCACACTGGGTTATACTGGGTTGGAGTGGCCCATACTGGTCCATACTGGTCCATACTGGGTCATACTGGGTCATACTGGGTTGGAGTGGTCCATACTGGTCCATACTGGGTTATACTGGGTTGGATTGGTGGGGATTGGGTTGGCATGGGTTGGAGTGGTCCATACTGGGTTATACTGGGTTGGAGCGGCCCATACTGGGTCGGACTGGTCCATACTGGGTCATACTGGGTCATACTGGGTCATACTGGGTTATACTGGGTTGGAGTGGTCCATACTGGTCCATACTGGGTTATACTGGTCCATACTGGGTCATACTGGGTTATACTGGTCGATACTGGGTTATACTGGTCAATACTGGGTCATACTGGGTTGGAGTGGTCCATGCTGGGTTATACTGGTCCATACTGGGTTGGACTGGTTGGGACGGGGTTGTATCGGTTGTGAGGGGTTGTGGCGGTCGGTACTGGTCCGTACTGGTCCGTACTGGTCCGTACTGGTGCTCAGGGCTGTTCTGCTGCGGGCCGTGCTCCGTCACCGCCGTGAGGAACGGGGAGGTGTTCCTCAAGTACGACACCGCCTTCGTCTTCGCAGAGGTGGGCGGGGCTTAGCAAAGGGGGCGGGGCTTAGCAAAGGGGGCGGGGCTTAGCAAAGGGGGCGGGGCTTTAAATGGGGCTTTAAAGCAGGCGGGGTTTAAACGGAGGGGCGGGGTTTTAAAAGGGGGTGGGGCTTAACAAAGGGGCGGGGCTTGAAGGAGGGCTACTGTAAGGGGGCGGGGATTTTAGATGGAGCGGCGCTTAAAGTGGGCGGGGTTTAAACGGAGGCGCTCAAGGGGGCGGGGCTTAATAAAGGGGCGGGGCTTGTCTTAAAGGGCCCGCACTTTTCCAACAAGGGAGTGGGGGCTTAAGGCAGGGGGCGGGGCTTAGCCACGAGGGGGCGGGGCTCCACGTGATTATAGGCGTGGTTATACCAAGGGGGCGGGGCTCGTCTTAAAGGGACCGCGCTTCGAATTCAAGGGGGCGGGGCTCGATACAAAAGGGGGGGGCGTGGTTTACACCAAGGGGGCGGGGCTTCTCTTAAAGGGGCTGCGCCTCCAAGCGAGCCCGCCCCGTCGGTGGGCTGCTTAACGAGTCCCGGCGCTAACGAGGTCCTCCTCGTTAAGGTGAACAGCGACAAGGTGTACTGGCAGCGGAAGGGCAACGGGGCCTTCGCCATCGTCCACGTGGAGGAAGGGGCCATCGGGCGCCGCATCAGCACCGTGGGGCCGCGCTCGCCCGCCCGCATCGACATCACGCACCTCTACAAGCACCCCGAGGGTCTGCGCTGCCTCGCCGTGCCCCATGGCAGCCCCAAGGGACCCCATGGGACCCCCACTGCAGCCCCATAGCAGCCCCTATGGGACCCCAAAAGACACCCATGGGACTCCCAAGGGACCCCCACAGCAGCCCCTATGGGACCCCAAAAGACCCCCAAGGGACCCCCACAGCAGCCCCCATAACAGCCCCTATTGGACCCCAAAAGACCCCCATGGGACCC